TACATGAAACCGAATATCCACATTTAGCCATAATGGCTAGAGATTATCTTGCGATTACAGGTAAAAAAAAAAAAAAAAAAAAATTTGGTTATTTAACATTAACAAACACTTTTTTAATAAAGCAACAAGTGTCCCGGTGGAACGAATTTTTTCTGGCGGAACCGATCTAATATCGAACAAAAGATGCGGTCTTAAAGCTAATACAATTCGCGCTTGTATGTGTTTGAAATCCTGGTGGAAAAAAATGTAAAAAAAAATAGTTAGAAATTAATGTCAACAAATAAATAATAAAATATACAAATATTAAAATACTGTAAAATAAACTTTATATGACGCTTTTTTATTTCGGAGTTAATATTACCCTTGAAATTCGAGTCAGTCCCGGGTCGACCTGGGTTGAACGAGTCGAATCCGAGTCGAACAATGATCAGGTCGAGTCGAATCTCGGGTTCTGTAATTATTAACGGGTTCGAGTTCGAATATGCTTCAAACCCGACCTGACCCGACCCTTACGGAGCACTACTTATAAGTTAAAAATTTGTAATTTTTAAAAAAAATTATAAATTAAAAAATTTTATTATTGAACTTTAACCATCTTATTAACATTTACAGTAATATTAATCAAAATATTATAAAATTTATCATAAAGAATAACTTTAATTATTATAATTTTTATAATTTACTAAGAAATTTTATGACTTTTATTAATAATAAAGTGATACAATTAGTTTGCAAATATATGAATTTTAAAAAATTTTAAAAAATTATTATAATAAAATTTTCAAAACTTAATTTTAAAAAATTGTATTATTTAATAAAGTTGATAAAATATATATTAAACTATATTTTTTATATAATAATTTTATTATTAACATTAATATTTTATTTTTTATTAAAAAATTTATACTTTTTTTTATGTTTGCAGGCAAATTTGCCTGTTCTATAGTTTAAGGGATAGTTCTATAACATCAGATCTAAACACCCTATATATATTTAGAAATTTACTAATATAAAAATTAAAAATTTACTTAATTAAAATAGGATCTAAATCCTAATTCTAATATTTAAACTAATTTTTAATTTTTTAATAAGTAACTTAAATTAAAAAAAATTATTATAAAGGATAATATTTAAAAAAAATTAATTTTTAAAATTAATTAGGACCAATTAGGACTTTTTAAGACTTTTCAAACCCTATAAATAATCCAAATACTGAGGAATATTTCGTAACACCGAAACCTGCTTCGTGGATTGACCTGTAAAGCAGCAAAATTTGTCTGCATATCTTTCTAAAAAACTTATTCCTTATAAGGTATGTGATGGACGTGTCCAAGACTTCCCCTGCGTACACTTCAAAAAATGTTACAAAATGGCCGGCATCACGGCATTTGGGTGGAATTAATTACTGAAAAATTCTGTTCCCATAATACTTGGTAAAAATTGAAACGCGGAGGATGTGACACCGGTGACAAAAAAATATCACGTGAAATTTTGTGACATTTTTTGAAGTGTCCAAGAATTGCGGCACGAATTACGTGACGCATTAGGAACACCAAAAGACCGATGGGAAAACACCAAACAGATCACGATTCTGCAGTACCACAAAATATTTCTTTTTTCCAAGATCAATAAACCATTCCAGGGTCATGGACTAAAATAACATCTTTACACGTAATATTAATTCAAAGTGCAATTTCGCTTTATGCACGTAATGGAACATTTGTCATTATCAAAAGAAATTACATTTTTATAAGATCTCAATGACCATGACCTTTAAAAAAAATATGAAAATAAATTTAGAGAAACAAGTTTTTAATTTAACTGATAACTCAGAAAGGAGATGATCACTAACATGATCAATTGGTTCTTTGATAATTGGTAGTACAACATCAATGCAGGCAACACGATCAAATTAACCTATCGAGAAATTGTTTTTTCCCCTTTTGAAAAAAATAATTGGTTAAAGTGAATGTGAACCCGAGAAATTGCGATTCTGGAATGCAGCATTTTTTTTTTTTCTCAAAGTTATTTATTCATGGTTCTTGTAATACAAAAATATCAATGATAAACAAATCGTTGCGTCTGTATATAATTTTATCGAAACAAAAAGAAATTTGCTTTCTATCCTTTTTTAATCTTCTTTCCTTAGAAACATTTTTACGAGGTTTGCAAAAATTCATTTTTTTGCCCTTTGAAATTAATGTGAGGCAGAAAAAAAAAAAATATCACTCCTTTATTTTTATTTTTTTTACTCTCTTTTCCTCCATACACCACCACATCTATTCTTCGTTTTCAATGAATTTGAAGAATTCTTCATCTTTACTTCTTTCATTAATTCTCCACAACCTTTCATACACTGTTAATAATTTTACCAATAGAATCTCACTTATCTAACGTATAAGAAATAATTTAGACTTACTTTCAATCCAATACCTTCATATTATTATACTCATCATTTTCCTAAATAACGTTCTTCATACTTAACAAAAAATTCACTTGATCTCCGCAATATTTCCTTTCAATTCCATCTTTTTGTTGTTTCCTTTCTTTTCTTTTTAATCATATTTAGTAATTATTGTTAATAAAGGAGAAATGCGTTTTATTAGATGGTTACTTTTGATTGTAGTTTTATATTTGTTAATAATAATTCATCAATCTGAAAGTTATAATGACCAAAAATTATTAAAATGTCGTCAATTCTTTGATTCTTTACAATTTAAAAGAAATTGTAATAATCATTATCATTTGAAAGAAATTAATCGTCGTGCCCAAACTACTAATGAGCAAAATGAAATTCCAAAGCAAGTAGAGGAAAAGAAACCTGAAAAGATTAAAGAAATATTAAAACAAAAAGAAAAGAAGCCTGAAGAAGCCAAAGAAGATCTGAAACAAGTAGAAGAAAAGAAATCTGAAGAGAATAAAGAAGAACCGAAACTAGTGGAGTACAAGAATTCCGAGGAGACAAAAGAAGGACTGAACCAATTGGAGGATAAGAAAATTGAAGAGAAAAAAGAAGAACCAAAAGAAGTGGAGGATAAGAAACCCGAGGAGAAAAAAGAAGAACCAAAGCAAGTGGAGGATAAGAAAATTGAAGAGAAAAAGGAAGAACCAAAAGAAGTGGAGGAGAAAAAAGAAGAACTTAAACAATTGGGGGTTAAGGAACCTGAAGAGAAAAAAGAAGAAACGAAACACTTGGAGGTTAAGGAACCTGAGGAGAAAAAAGAAGAACCGAAAGAATTGGAGGATAAGAAACCCAAGGAGAAAAATGAAGAGCCAAAACAAGTGGAGGATAAGAAAATTGAAGAGAAAAAAGAAGAACCAGAAGTAGTGGAGGAGATAAAAGAAGAACT